TGATTAGGGGGTGATCAGGCTGGCAGACAGAAGCAGTTAGGGGCAATCAGGAAGGCAGGCAGGCGAGCAGTAGGAAGCCAGTAGTCCTGGATTGTGAGAGGGATGTCCCAGATTGGAGAGGGTGCAGGCTGGCCTGAGAGACACACACCCCCATGCACAAATTTTGTGCAACGGGCCTTTAGTTTTGTATAACAAGAGAGGGGCAATCTTGCAAATATTAGACCTTCACATGCAGTGCAGATGTATCTAGCATCAGTGTCACAGTACCAGAGCTGACAGTAAATACCTAACGTTTCCAAGAGCCTAGTTTTACTGTCATGAGGACAAAATCCAATTGCAGCGAGTTGGAGACAGTAAGAAAGTGTCAAGTACTGTTGGCACACATTCTCAACCAGACTGCCTGCATTTGAATCCACGCTCTGCAAGTTACCAGTGGATTGTCCTGGGCAAGTTACTTAACCTCTCTGTGCTTCAGTTTTCCCATCTGTCCAGAGGAGATGATCATAGTACCAATTTGAAAGAATAAAAGAAATTACTATTTGTTAAATGGTTAGAACAGTGCCTGGAAAAAAGGATGTGCTTTATACTTTGGATTATTATTTAGGAGGGAGTTAAGGGGGACAGGAAACAGGAAGAGCAGATGTGTCACATATAGAAGCTGATAGAAAAGGAAGGCAAGGTTGTGAGCTACATTTGCGGGAAGGGGAAGAAGCAAGCAGTCAAGCACAGGTGTTTCTGTGTATTTCATTTCCCAAGATAAGGAGGCGTGTGACCATTTGAAGGTGAATGGAACTGAGCCAGCTAACATGAAGGCAGGAGAGGGAGGGGATAGCTGTGGGGGCAGGATGATCTGTAATAAGGGTAGTGGTAATTCGAGGTGTTAGGAGGTAAGTAATTATTGAATAGCTTTCTCTGTATTCTTCAGGAATCCAGCAAGCCTTTATAATATGTTTCAAATTTGGCATTGAAATTCAGACTATACTACTATACCCTCAGCTGTTCAGTAGATGGGGAGAAATTAGTGAGCTGATGTGGGGTGAGCAGAAGGAACTCTGCTAATGAGTAGCTACAATCTGTGGTGCACCTGGGTCATCCTGGAAGAAACCTCACAGCTAAACTAACGGTGATCACCAGACAGGGGCGGAGTAGCTTTGGGAACACAGGCATCAGATGTGCTCAGCCAAACCACAGACAGCCCCGCAGCCACCAAGCCATGGCAGTAGACCAAACAACTGGGCTGTGTTCAGACCCGGCAGTGTGGCCACTCATATTTCAATCCTTTCCCCACAATTGCCACAGGAAAAGAATGCGGTCCAAGAGTCAAGTTAAAAAAGACAAAAGCTTCAATTTTCATAGAAACGTACGTTTATTTCGATAGAAACATGCTGATTACAAAGGGCTGAAATAAATGAGTCATCATTAACATAAAGTAATAGAACATTTAATAAAAATTAATATTTTTCCTTGAACATTAACTTACCAGACACTGAATAACTACACAAATTAATAAGCATAATGCAAATAGACCTAGATTTTTTTGTTCTCCACAAGCGAAATATTTCCTGTTGTGCACACCAAACAAGTCAGTCCAAGACTAATGACATGGCAGTCGGTTGCTAAAATATTCGCTGCTAGTATTAGTGGAGAGAAATGGTGTGCCTGGGCATAAGGTGTGTAAGGGAAATGAATGCAACACAATTACAGTAATCAGTCATTAACGAACATTGTAGTCCATTATTGATAATTATGTATAACAGGATATTGTAAAACTTGTTACAAAATTTTATTAAAACGTTTCTTACGTTTCTTACATACCGTTACATTGATGGGCGGCAAAAATATTCGCTGTGGGCTGCATGCTGCCTGAGGGCTGCAAGCTTGACATGCTTGCTCTACAGGAATTAGGTGTTAAAGAGTGATGCGGGTCTCTAGGAGAGTGAGTAGATTAGTGAATCACAGCAGAGTTTGCATGAAGAGGAGAGGCAAGAGATCTACCTAAAGGTCTAGGTTAGAGCCACTCAATCATGGGACTCAAGATACTTTTGAACTTTATCCTCTAGTTAATGGGGAAGCTTCAAAGACATTTAGGATTTGTCAAGGTTTGCCTAAGAAGCAATAAAAAGGATGTGTTCGAGAGAAGAAAGACTTAGGTCAGTAACACTAATTAGTTAGAAGGCTGTCTTTAGGTTAAATCATATATACTTTCCAATATCCAACCATTTTGATCAAACAAAAATGACAATTTAATGCAGTTCAACTAATACACTAGCCAGAAGAATGAGGCATAAAGACTGGAGACAAAGGGTAAAATAAAAGAGACAATAGAGCCCTGGCCAGTTGGTTGAGTGTTGTTGCATGCAACAACAGATTGCCAGTTTGATTCTGGGTCAGGGCACATGCCTGGGTTTCAGGCTCGATTTCCAGTAGGGGGCGTGCAGGAGACAGCCCATCGATATTTCTCTCCTTTTCCCTTCCTCTCTCTAAAAATAAATGAATAAATAAATAAGTAAGTAAATAAGTAGATAAAAAATGTTCTTTTTTAGAGACACATAGGAAATAAAATTGGTATAAAATGAATGGTCCATGGGATGCAGGAGCAGAATAAGTTGAGGAAATTAGCTGGGACAGTGAAGCAAAGTTTTTTCATGAGAATGTTGTAGTCACTCAAGGAGAGTAGCCAAAAAGAAAACAGGGCTCACCAGAGAAGGAATGGGGAATGTGCCACACTTCAGAACTCCTGGCTTTTCACATATAACCTGTGGTTCCTCATTTTTTCAGTTTTTTCTTTTCTGCTACTTGACCATGTACAGACACATGATATTCAAATTCCTATAGTTGTATCTGTTCCTAAAATTGAGTCAACAATGCAATCCCAAATGCATTTACTTAGTTAAAGCAGACTTCTAAATAAGAACCAAGGGAGTATAATATCAGAAAGAGAAGCTAGTGTAGGAACTGGATCTAGCTAGATCAGTTTTTTAAACATAAAAAGTGTCCATCTTCACATATAAGGGCATGCAGGGGATGCTAAAAGTCTCAGAGAATAAATAGGAAAACATCTTTTTTTTTTTTCTATCCTGTCCTCAACTCTTCCAGAGCCACATTATTTTGACAAAAATGCCACTGAAATATTTCTGTTTGCTCTGAAATGGATATTGGCTAACGTGTAATTTTTGTTGCAAAGAAGAAATATCATTTTATTTTCCTTTTTTTCCATTTAATAACTCTGCCTTTCTAAAACAGAAATTATCTATTTACTTAACACAGTCAAGAATGGGATAACTACTGTTATCTGGATATCTTATGTAATGTCATACTACTTAGGATGGGGCTGCTGTTTAATATGTTAACTCAACTTTTTTTGGGGGGTGGGGTGGCAGGAAGAATGACTCTAGGAATCCAATAAAAGAGATTGACAAAGGAAACATTGAATTTTATTTATTTATGCTTTTTCTTGTAGCAATTTTTTTGGTAAAATTTAATTTCATTCTGCTATTTGTTGTAAGAGAATTACTGAGAATTGTATAAAAGGAAATATTTTTCATGTATTTTTATTAATATTTTATTGCATCTGAAGAATTTAAGCCAATACTTGGAGAATACTATTGAGGGAATGGCTTCAGGGTCGTTTATGCCACAAATACATATTGGACCATGACCCATGTGCCAGACACTCTGGTAGCCACTAAAGACACAGTGGTAAATAAAACCAGGCATGGTTCCTCCTCTCATGAAACTTGTAGCTTGAAGTTAATGACCAATATGAAAGAAATAATCACAAAAATGACTGTGAATTCCAAACTGCTATGAGTTTCTGAAGAGAAAATAGTGGATATTACATGGTGGTGGATAAATCCTAGTGAACAGGATATTCTCCAAGAAAGTGAATTTTCAAGTTGAGCTCTGAAGAACAAGTGAAAGTCAGCGATGTGATGAGGGCGTAGAGGAGCACTCTAGGCAGAGGAACTTCAAGTGCAAAACCCTGAGGTAGAAAGGAGGATGACACTGATCATGAAGTTCATGGAAGTCTAGTGTGGCCTAAACACACAAGAGCAAAGGACAAAAGGTTCAAAACAAAGCTGGAGTTGTAGCCAGAGGCCAGATGAAACAGGACCTGTGAGGTCATGTTAAGAATTTGGTCTTTATCCTAGGAGCCATGGGAAGCACTAAAAACTGGAGAGTGGTAGGCTTAGATTTACCTTCACCCATCATCTGAAGTTAGTGAGTTTTTATTCAGCATTTAAAAAGTGCTCTGAAACTGCTTCAGATAGTTAAAACTCATATTATACATGGTCCCTGCTCTCAAGTAATATCTGGTGTGGAAGTTTGGTAAGAACTAGAGTGTGGGTTAAAGCATGGAGGGAGAAATGAAATAGTCTTGCCCAACCGGTTCTGCTCAGTGGTTGAGCATCAACCCATGAACCATGAGGTCACAGTTCGATTCCTGGTTTGGACACATGCCTTTGTTATGGGCTGGATTCCCAGTAGGGGGTGTGCAGGAACTAGCCATGTTTCTATCTCTCTCTCTCCCCTTCTCCCCTCCTCTCTAAAATCAATAAAAAAAAATTTTTTAAGCAATTTATATATTTTTTTAAAAACTGAGATAGTATTGGGAAGATAATAGCTAAAGCATCTTTATTTACTGAATCATAACCAATGTGAGCAGAAATATAAAGTTTGGTTTTGCTTTCCTATGAAAATGGTCAAGGCAGTGTCATCTGACAAAAGGAGACATAATTAAGAATTCTGGCCAAAGCTGGTTTGGCTCAGTGGATAGAGCATCAGCCTGCGGACTGGAAGGTCCTGGGTTCAGTTCTGATCAGAGGCATGTGCATTGGCAGCTGGTCAATGCTTCTCTCTCATCGATGTTTCTAGCTCTCTGTCCCTCTTCCTTCCTCTCTGTAAAAAATCAATAATATATATATATATATATATTTTTTTAAATAAAAATAAATTTTAAAAAAAGAATTCTGTCCACTGACGTCTCTGTCTGTTTACAGATCAGGAACCACAAAAACAAGTATGCATCCAGCTCCACCTCCTTACCTCACCAGTGCTCCTCAACATCGATGTGCACTGACCATTTGGAAAGGTGAGATTCAGAAACCACCTGGATGTACAGCATAGACTTCGCCCATCTCCTTGTTCTGACCCGAGTTTGTGTTACCAAAGCAGAATATCTCTAAGAAAAAATGGAAGTTAAGCACACTTATCTGATTAAGGAGGACTAGATTTCTTAGAGGAGCTGTTGTTTTTATAACTTCACTTAGATTTCCTCCAACTGGGAATTTTCTGAAACTGGGTCCAGTCTGATTATGTGGCTGATCAATTTTCATGCCCTGCATGTCATTGATGTTTCATAGTAAAAATAGTTTTGGAGAGTATTTTAACTTTTAGCTACCCCTGTTTTAATTAGAGGAGGATCAATGTGTTCTCCATGTGGTTAGCACACTCTGGCTTGCCCTTCTGATTAGATCTGTTTTGTATAAAGCATGTAATTCAATAAACCCCCTGGAAAACAGAACATAATGCCTAACATGATACACAGATGCTCATTTTAAATTCTGAGAACTTGACTTTTCTCCCTCAAACACCTCTTTTCAATATCTCTGTTGTTAACTGTAGGGTTAATTGCATGAATAGCCTTCTGGCATTGTGGGATTGTATTTGTTTTAATGAGATAATGTGAAAAGTTCCATACTTGACTTTTTGCATAAATTGAATTCTTCATTTTAATGAAAAGTTAGCATGTTCATTTTATTAATTTCCTGTCTAAGGCTAGGCACCATAACTCCTCTACTCAGTATAAGTTGTTATGGATGTGGACATTCAAGTAGCTCAGTTTCTTTGGCCATTAGTTCTCCCACAGTTGAGGTAGTTGAAAGACAATCACTTTTGTTCTTCAGGGGAAGATCTAAATGTGTTTTCAATAGAGATATAGTGTATAACAATGCCTGAAGGATAAGAATAAGATGATTAATCCTGAAACATAGCTTATAAATCACAGGGCCAATAACATTTTTCTCAACTCATCTTTATGTCCCTACATCCTTTCCCTAAATGTGTACATATAATACACATAACATAGGCACCATTTTGCTCTGAACACAGATTCCCCTGGAAAACAAATGAAGGGGAAAGAAAGGAGATATCCAGCCTGGCTGATATGGCTCAGTGATTGAGCATTGACCTATGAGGTCATGGTTTGACTTCCTGTCAGGGCATATGCCTTGATTGAAGCCTCGATTCCTAGCATGGAGCATGCAGGAGGCAATCAACCAATGATGCCAAATGAAAAAAAAAAAAAAAAAATATATATATATATATATATATATTTTTTTTTTTTTTTAAAGAATGGAGATATCCAGCTCCCATCTCTTTATCGATAGATGTACTCTAACTTCATTTTTTTTTAGAGTAAATCTTAACATACTTTCCCCTCATCATAAAAAATAAGCTGGGCTATTTATAGAAACTTTGGAAATTAAAGAACATTAGAAAGAAAAGGCAGGTTATTAAGCTTTACTTCCATTACTCAGGAAAATTCCACCATCATTTTAGTATATCTTTCTCTTACTTTTCCTCTGCACTTTTCTTGATTTTGTTTTAAATACTTATGATAATATTACATATATACTATTGTATCCTATTGTATTTTGTTTGACATAAAATAAGCATTCCCTAGCTTATTTACAAATTATTTTAAAGTAATTTTAATATTCATGTAATAGTCTATTAAAAGGATACACTATAGCTTACTTACCCATAATCTGTGTTCAAATTAGCACCATATTGAATCATAACCCAAAATTTAAATGCAAAGGTTTTTAAAAATATATTTGGTTGTTGTTGATATTTTTTTTTTACCATAAGTTTACTTTAAAGAATAAATGATATGTGAAATTGTAATAGTCTTTAAAGATGAATATAGTCTGACTTCTTTCTAAAAGAATTTTAGAGATTTAAAATTTCAGCAATGAATGAGTTTCTGCTTTGCTTCACTGTCACCAGCTCTGTATATATTAACACACACACACACACACACACACACACACACACACACACTACTTTGTGGGTTTGACAGGACAAAAATTGCAGATGATGTCTGTTTCAATTGGCATTCCTCCTTATGCCTTTTTAGGGTATAGTTATATCTTGGTTAGGGTTGTTTGTATGGCAAGATTATTTGACCATTCAATGTGTCTATAATTGATATAGCTTCATGATTTAATTATTCTTCTGGATTACTTGGAAACCAGAAAAATTACTCAGAAAAAGCATATACTGAGCAAAATTAAATTATCCAGAGGCCTAAGTGATTCAAAATCGAGAGTTATTTAAATATCATATTTCAAAAATACACATGTAATTATTTCAAACCAGATTTTTAAAAATGTCTTTATTGATTAAGGTGTTACATATGTGTCCTTATTCCTTCATTATTCCCACTCACTACCTCACCCCCCCTGTTGTCTGTGTCCTTTACAAACCAAAATGTTTTAATGTCTAAGACATTTATGTTGATTATTTATATCTTACTTCTCCCAGGGGTGGGGAACATTTGGCTTGGGAGCCATATAAGACCTGTGAAGTCACTTGGTCTGGCCCTGCCAAGGCATTAGTGAGTTAATTAAATGTTTGACTAAATAGAGCAGTCTAATTTTTAAGTTGATAATTTTGTATGGCCCATGAATGATGTTATTCATTCATGTAAATATCTAAGTGGCCCTCATAGAAAAAGATTCCCCATCCCTGCCTCACACCATAAAACAAAAACAAAAACAAACAAAAAAAAACCTGTTTATGCTTATTACATCTTTCTCTCTCTATTCTAACAGATCATGAAAGAACAAAGATGGACTTTTTCTTACAATACCTGCTTCCTCGAATTTGTGTTTTTCTTCCCACCTGAGGAGAATTTTATATTTTGATTTGGATTATTTCTTAGTTTTCATCTTATTTTACTTTAATTTTTTTCTTGTCAATAATACCCACTGAGAATAAGTTTATTCCTGCCTCTGAGGGCTAAATTGACTTCTTGAGTTGGATTTTGACTGTGTATTTAGGAAGTTGGACAGGATTATAGAGATGGTGAATGCTGAAAAAGTGAAAGAAAGAAAAAACCCATCTTCCAGGAGTTTGACCCCAATTTCAAACCTTTACCTGAATTTCAACCCATGTAAACACCTTTACATTTTGTGGTTGTTTTGATTTTACAATATGAGTTTGAAAAATCAGTGTACACTTTTGACAATAAAATCAACATATTGAGGGCAAAATTCAATTAGTAGGACTTAAATTTAATGAGATAGAAAATTATGTTAATTGAAGGCAGGACTATATTATGACCAACATTATTTATACAAAATGTGATTAATGTTTTGGAGTTGTGTCAAAGTCCCTATGTCAATATTCTGGTTATCTGCCACTTAGTAACTCTGGAATCAATTTAATTCTCATTTCTCTGACTTTGAAGACTAAAAGGTGTGATGAAGGGCTCTCTTGAAGTGTTATAGAAAATAATAATGAGGTTAGGTGATGAGCTATTGAGTAAAAGCAATAAAGGTCCAAGCACAGCCTCTGGTTCACCACTATTAATTCAGGATTTCTAAAAATTTATTCTCAGGTAGTATAAAAAGGCCATATTAATAAGTAACATAGTTATCACACATCAAAATTTGTGAATTTTTTATGAAGGGAAGAAACCCATTTTGTCTTAATTGTAGAATTTTTAAAAATACTTTGTATCAAATATGATTTTACTTTCCTGTAATAGGTTCAAACAGTCTGTTTTTCTCTTATCTTCCCTCTTCTCTCTTTCTCCTTTCCTTTCCTCTTCTCTTTTATTTAACACATATTTATTGTGGCTGTTCTTTAGGAACTGTGCTAAGTAAGGGTCATGCTGTCACATACAAGAACATTTGGGGAAGAGATGATAATATAGTATCAGGAGTCATGGGGGCCTATACTATGACTCCATTGTCATTTCTGCCAGCTAAATTAAGCCAAAATAGTTGAGTCATTTTTTCTTAAATAGTAGAACCAGTTGTGAATTAGTTATAAACTGCAATTATTTTCATTCAAACCTGCATTTGAAATGGCTTTATATAACTATCACAAATCAGATGGTGTACACAATTCCTTGATTCAGATTTTAGCTCAACACATTTTGTTGATCAAGTGGAATTAGCCAATAACTAGAAGTCTAGTGCATAAAATTTGTGCATGGGGTAGGGGTGTCTCTCAGCCCAGCTTGCACCCCTCTCCAATCTGGGGCCCCTTGAGCAATGTCCAACTGCCCATTCAGGCCAGATCTTGTCGGGTCTGAATGGGCAGTTGGACATTCCTCTCACAATCCAGGACTGCTGACTCCCAACTGCTCACTTGCCTCTGCCTGATTTCCCTTAACTGCTTCTGCCTGCAAGCCTGATTACTTCCTAACTACTCCACTGCCAGTCTGATCGATGCCTAACTGCTCCCCAGCTGGCACAATTGCCCCTAACTGCTCTTCCCTGCTGGCCTGGTCAACCCTAACTGTCACCCCTGCCCTCTTCTTGCAGGCCTGGTCCCCACTAACTGTCCTCCCCTGCAGGCCTGGGTTGTCCCTCCAACTGTCCTCTATTGCAAGCCTGGTCCTCCCACAACTGCCCTCCCCTGCTGGCCTGGTCTCCCCTAACTGACCTCCCCTGCAGACCTGGGTCTCCCTTCCAACTGTCCACCTCTACAGGCCTGGTCCCCCATAATTGCCCTTCCCTTCAGGCCTGGTCAACCTCAACTGCCCTCCTCTGCTGGCCCGGTCACCCAAAAATGCCATCTCCTGCAGACCTGGTCCCCTTCAACTGCCCTCCCTTGCAGGACTGGTCCCCTCCAACTGCCCTCACTTGTAGGCCTGGTTCCCCCAACTGCCCTCTCTTGATGACCTGATCACCCCCAATTGCCCACACCTGCTCTCCCTTGCCAGCCATCTTGTCCACATGGGGACAGCCATCTTTGGCCACATGGGGGTGGCCATCTTGCGTCTTGGAGTGATGGTTAATTTGCATATTTCTCTTTTATTAGATAGTATAATGTCTATGCTTCTGCTACATCTAT